TCACAGGACTAACAATGGCGAGACTGCCTTGTATTGGGCATATGCTAACAACCGCAGAGCTGTAGTAGATTACCTAAGGTGTAAGGGTGGGATCAAATGATGTTAACACCCTCTCTTCTGGAACAAAGCCTATCTGATTTGTATTGATTAGATTTTCATAAGTTTTAATATCGCCGTTTGAGGAAGCTTCTAACTAAACTGAACTAAATAAGTTAACTTCTCTATAGAAAGAGTTTATTGTGAACCCTCTCCAGAGAAACCCCATAATTGACTGGGTCATTCAAAATAATATTACAGTAATTGGCCATCTGGAAGTTTCTCTAAGAAGACCTTTTAGCTTGTATGGCCTTCTCCTGCGTATAGATGAATGTGACCAGTTTAAACAATTTTAAGAAATATAAGCCCACTGGGAGAACCAGCTGTTAAAATATCCTTTGTCTGCCCTCTTGAGAGGAAGGGATTAAGAATATGCATACTCTCCTGGAGATGGAGAAGAGATTGTTAGACTTAGCCGGCTGCAACTTGATTTCCACGGACCTAGGAGATGGCTTTAACTGAAGGAGAAGATCACGGACCGCAAGATGGAATTTAATAATGATAACCCGAAGACCAGTCGGATTTCGCAGAACAATCCCAGTTCACCACATCTGAATTTCATCAGCTAAGTTTAATCAGATGCAACGGATTTTCAAATCAATATTAAAATATTTTGTAGCATTAGCTCAAATCAGTCAAGCTGAATAATACACTCATTTAGAGTATTTATTCAATTTATCGAATCATACTTTTATTTAGATGTTGCGATTCTAATTTGGATATTTATATTTCCATATAATTTGTATATTCATCTTCATTCTCTTATTGAATATATTTTAAACGAATAAACTATTTTTTTTAATATGATCATTAATTTCTACCACCTAATTATACCATAATTAATCCGACTCTGGTTTCCGCGAAGCGAATCATACAGGCAGAGTTACCTTTTATTTAATTTTTTTGGATAATTACCATCAATAATTATCGCTATGCCGAAAATAATGTTTCTATAACTATAGTAATATATTTATGGAGTATTAATTTGGGAGAACTTAGGAATCCCTAGGAAAAAAAATTGGAGAAACCACAAGGGTAAATGTAAAGGAACTAAATTATATAATTATAATTTCACTAGCACTTCTTTTAAGAAGAAATAAATAAAATTTATTGGGAGAGGTGGCATGTGCCATCTATCAATTTAAACAAGAAGTGGATTGGATACAGCTATGTGCCATGAAAACAGTTCAATTTCTTGGCCCCCTTCTCCCACCAATAGTGAGAAAAATAGACAATAAGGAAGTCTTTCTTATTTCCACACTCATTAATCTTTTTAACATGAATAAGAACTTATCCTCTGATGATTAAATATTTTAAAAGGATTGGTGAGTTATCATTTAAATAGAAAAATATGTAATTTGGTTTTAACAATAAGATACATGAATATTCCAAGGAAAATTATCGTCCATAATTTTAGTTTACCTAAGACACTAATCACACCACCGCTCAGAGAAAAGTTTCAGGTAAATAACAATAACTGTATATGATGATAAATTAAAACTTTGCTTCAATATGATGGTAAATTAAATCTGTGCTTCAATATGATGATAAATTAAAACAGAAAAACTAGGAATTTAATTGTGTTTTTAATTATTATTATAAAAACTGTACAATTCAACTGAATCCATGAGTGGTAAAAGTTATTAAATCCACTATTCTTCAACGGTGTAACCTCTGTTTTAAAAACTAAAACAAAGAGGATATTTTATCTTCATAAAGCACCTAAAAAATTTATATAATATAAAAACTAAAAAAATATAGTATTTTCTGCCATCCTTTCTTTACCACGTAATCCGATTGCACGGTCCATCATACTAGTGATGTGTAGTTCTTGAAGTGGAATATTGAGGACTGGTCTTACTTTTGGTGAACTATAGTTCATTGTGAACTGCAGTTCTGGCGAACTATGTTTCCCCACTCCCAGGACCTAGATCAGTTATATATTCACACTTCACTAAAAATGGTTTAAGGTTCCGTTACATTACAGCACAAAATGTAAAAATGTTTTGTTGATTGGGTTAGTGCCATTGATATTGCATTGTTACAATTACTAATTACAGCAAGCATAAAATTAATGTAAATGTAATTAATGCAGTGAAGACCTGTTTGGCTTTGAGGCGGAAAACCCTAGGGTTATCAACGTCTTTTTGTTCTTTATTTTTGTTTTCTGGATCTCAGAAACTCCTTAGAAGAAATATATATATATATATATATATATATATATATATATATATATATATATATATCGATTAGAATATTAAATTGACTACAAACTTTATAATATTAAAGCAAACTTTTTTTTTTTTGCTTTCTTATATATTCTAATTAATAATTTATTTATTTTTGCTTCTTCACTACCGAAGATAGAGAAGTATTGTATTAGTGCGAGAGGTTAAAAAAAATGTAGTGCTCAAAATCGAGACTTTCCGCTCGGTTTTCATCAAGGATCACATTTGGTTCGGCGTCTGTCTGTCTGTGGTCAAATTGATGTGAGGGTAAATTAGAGAAGAAAAGTTCATACCCACCAATTTATTTGAAACAATTAGCACTAAACACAATCATGGACCGCTACCCAAATTATCTACAAATTTATACAGACGCATCAAAAACAAGTAACCGAACGTCCATAACTGTATATGATCCCCAAAAGAACCAGACATTTTCATTATCAATATCAGTTGATTTCAGTATTTTCAGCGCCGAACCATATGCCATTCTTAACACCATAATATACAGCAAAAACACATATATCAACCAAAAAATAGTCATTCTGAGAGACTCAGCAACTGCATGTAAGCACCTAAAATTAATCTACCAAAATAAAGCACTGACACACATTCCCTTTAAAATTATATCACTAATATACAACGCCAGCAACAATTACTTTTTCCAGTGGATGCCGGGACACGTAGGAATATCAGGAAATGAAATGACAGACAAAACGGCAAATCAAAACCAACTACACCGAATAAACGCGGAGGTCCCTTTACTGGATTTGATAAGAGTAGTGAGGGGGAAAATAATGAAAGACTGGCAGCATTTCTACGACTGGGAATGTGCCTCGAAGGGTAAGGACCATCATGCAGTTCAACAGAAGATAGCACTGGTTCCATGGTTTGCGACTCTTAAATCTCATCTCGACCGCTCCAGCTTAGTAAAGCTGACCAGGCTTAGGATAAACCACGGTAGAAAAAATAAATATCTTCATCTAATGAGTCAAGCTAAGAGCGGTCACTGCTCAACATGCCAATGCTTGGAGGATCCAAGACACATTGCCTTCAAGTGCAAAAGTTTCGAGAAGCGAAGAAGAATCAGTTTAGGATAGCAAACTATGGATGGTGGAGCTAACTTTCTTCGGTCGATGAATAAAGATAACGCCCGTGACTTGATAAAGTTCATGAATGACATCAAAGCAGTCGTAATAGGAGTCGGCACTTATTCTCAGTTAATTGTAATTGTAATTCATCTCATTTAACCATTAGTCTTTCTAGTTTCCATATCTAATATCTAATATTCAAGTCCTATATAAGTTACTTTCAGTTATCATCTAACTATAAATAATTAATATAAATCCAGTGTAATTTCCGTCTAAAAACCGTGTAATTTCATCTCACTATGACAAATAAAATATTTTACTGGCAAAATAGGACTTGCTTCTACAAGTCTTAAAGCCAAAAACACAAAAAAAAAATTCTGTTAAATAATCGATGAGTTTTAAGGAAATTTATAATGGTTTTTATATTTGATCCATCATTATTTATATAGCTGAAATACTGGGTCTAAGAAATAATCTATTTAAGCTTGCAGTGTAATAGGGACTTTCCTGAAAAATATGGCTGACAGTGAGCGGGTTAGAGATCATTTTGTTTTTTTAATATTTATTGTTTTCAAGTTTGGTTACCTACGTCATTGTGTCAGCGAGTCTACAGGAATACAATTCCAAGTATAGGCTTAATATTAGATAAGTTAAAATACTAAAATAGGATTATGACAGAACTATTTAATTCATTTTAGTTTTTGAAATTTTAAATATCGACCAACAATTATTAATATGTTACAAATTTTATGTGAATAGATTTGATTAAATAAAATCAATCAGAAATGAAATATACAGATTGTTATTACTGAAAATATATTAAAATTAGATCAGAGGATCTCACATGTCTAGTACCATCTGTATTACAGTAGATGGGGACAGTAATAGTTCATTTAGTGAACTACAACTTTCGCCATCTACTGTAACATGATGGTACTAGCTCTAGTACCGTCTGTGTTACTTTATGTAGCATTAAAATCGGAGTGAACTAATGAACTAGTTGAATAAGATGAACTGAACTAGAGACTCGTTGCACATCTCTAATCTCCTTAAATTCAAATCATCAGTTCATTCCTGCAATACTCTTTCTGGGATTTCAGAAATAAATATAATAGCCTACTGATGATCATGGTTTTTTGACAGATCTTACTTTAACTTTACCAGATATTCCACCAAAGGAGTTCCATTACTCCAATATTCTTTCCACCATTAAATCCCGAATATTCAATTACATTCACTTTTTTCAGTTCCTAAATAATTGAGATTAGACCTTTTTTATTTTTAATCAAAATTTATAAATATTTTAAATTCATTACTACTTTTGTTTATTAATATATTAGAATTTTTTTTTGTTTTAGCTTAATGATATAAAAGTATGATTTATTGTAATTCCATTTTATTAACATGATTTTTTATTTACTAATTTTTCTTCATTGTTATTTTACTTGTCTGAAATGTTATTCTGAAGGTAGGTAGCCTCAAATAAATAAAGAATTGATTACTATTAAAATGAATAAATTATTTATTTTTTCCTGTAACTCATTCAATAAAACATTAAAAACAATTAGGGATGAATAAAAACAAGTAATAAATCATTTAACAAAGATATATTTACAAATAAAAAGTAAAACTTAAAAGCAAAACTTAAATCTAAAAGTTAAAACATTTCTTCAAAGAACTGAAATTTCATAATAGCATCCTATGATTTATTTAATTTAATAAAATGATTTTGTACAAAGCATAAAACTATTTGATTACTTCCTCTGCATTACACATCGATATTAGAAACTTTAAAATGATTTATCAGTTATAAATATATACTATAACATAGTAACATACTTTGGAAAGTACTAACTGCTTTGTGTTAATAAAAATTTACATAAAAATTTCTTATTATGTACATATTGCGTAAGTTATACGTTTATATTTACAAAATATACAAATGTTATTTGATAACATTGTTTTTAAAATCTATACCCCATCAATAAAGAACTTTTCTTCTCTAGCATTTATTCTACTATCCTCAAATAAGAACTCTTCATCATCCTTTTCCAAGTCTTTGAAAAACATTGACAATTTTTCAGCTGTTGAGAGTCCATTTTCATGATTGGCGATTACTGGGGTTGTCTTATTTTTTGATTTCGGAGATCTATTCTTATTTTGAATAGAATCTTCCTCCTCTGAACTTACAGAAGCACTTTCAGCGAGACCTTCATCAGATTCATCAACTTCCATTTTTTCTGCCTCTTGTTTGCTGAAATAAAAAATTAAATTACTTTAATATTTTTGTTAATTCATGTTTTACAATTCTGTATGTGTATATATGTATATATATATATATATATATATATATATATATATATATATATATATATATATATATATATATATATATATATATATATATATATATATATATATATACACATAATGATATTTAATAAATATTTATTTATTTATAAACATAATAAATATTTATACATAATGCATTGCAAAGTGATAAGTTTGAACAATTTTCAAAGAATCAAAATGAAATTAAGTCATAAGCATACACATCGTAGTATGACAATAAAAAAACAATACTTACTTAGTGACAATCAAGGACTGAAGAAAACTGCTGCACATTAGACTCATGGCTGGGACAGTATGAGCTGGATATTTCAAAAACTAGAAAAAGATAATGTTTTAATAAATTCAATAAGTATATTTTAAAAATTCAATGAACTCAAATGTTATAAATCAAAAATAAAATTCTCCTCTAATTAATAAATTACTAATTGTATGATTATTATATTTAATCAACATATGATTAATATTTATTAAAAAAATACCTCTTTTAATACCACAATTGTTATTTTATAAATAAAAAATCTTTTCAACAAAAATATTTAAATTGTTATTCAACGCAAAAAAAAATTTCTAAAAAAATTAGTACTTCATATAACAATTAAATATATGTAGATTATTAGAAATAAAAGAAGGTAATTTTTATGAAATTATGAGATTATCGGTCAAGATTTGTCATCAAGGTCAATGGATGTTTTTTATAATAAAATTTTTGGAAATTCATTACTTTATAATTTAATCAGTATTAAATTATTAATCTAAATTTATAATCTTTTTTTTATTTTGTGCAAAACATTTAAATTTTGTGTTAAACGTGTCACATTTTCTCTTGTATAGGAAGTAATCACTAAAACATTATTTTATTAGATAATCAACTACTTCTTCATAGTAAACTAGACAAAACTTCATGGATTATACGCGATGATAATCCAACATGAATAAAAAAACAAATTATTTTAACAGTGACAAACAAATAAGATAATAGAAAGAAAAGTGAATCTATTAATATTTTATTATCGTAAAAGAGCTAGATTGTTAGCACAGAATTACAAGACAAAAATAGACCCTGTTCCATTTTGAGTAGATGGTTACAAGTTATTAGATGACACAACACGTGTGCGTTGAATGTGGAGTAAAGGATGTTAGGCGTTAAGTAAATAGGACTATCTCTCCTCAGCTAGGAGGAAGTTACTAGCCCGGGGAGCAGTTTAAATTAGATTTCACAATCGTGTCAGTAACACAAGCACTTGATTCGTAACAACCTTAATTATAACATGAAACACTTTAAAAGTGAAAATTAAGGCATATAAAAGTGAGGCAATTTTAGAGTGATATAACCTAAAAAATGATAAAAAAGATGAAAAAATAATATAAGTAATCTTTAAAAGCGAAAAAGAAAATACTATACTATATTAATGCAATAATAAAAATATCATCCATCATAATCTTTTGTAGATTAATTCATAATTATATTCATATATAATTTACCATTAAACAAATAATCCAAAACTTTTGAAGCTTGTAATTTGTAGTGGATGGATGTGTAGTAATGGATAGAATATAGAAACCATTGTCAGGGAATTGGAGTCCTATAACCTACCAGAAATGGTACAAACCAGACTCACAAATTAGAACAGAAGATATAAAACAAAAACGTTGAGGGGTTTTATTTATTAATTCTTTTATAAAGGCGTAGAATCTAAAATTTATTGATGTGGTTTGGAAGAGCCATAATTCAGCTTTCCTGCGGTTGTTGAAACGCTGAATTACGAAAAAAATCCTTCGGAGTTAGGAATGCTTCAATAAACAAACGGTACAGAATGAATTTTTCCCATATGATTAAGTACAAAAATTTGTATACTTTCATTTCAAAACAAAATCGTAGTTAAAAGTTTTAAAGGACGCTAGAAGCGAATTTGAATCGATTGTTCATAACAGATATTTACTTGGCCTACGGCCTACTTTACTGGAAGCGTCAAAACAATGACATATAAAAAAAGTCAACATTTTATAAAATATTTTCTTTCTCAGCTCCTAGAGCGTATTGGCAAGAATCCTTGGACATAGGTAAAACATTTTTCGGCCTACTGTCACCAAAAAAAAAGTTTCATTGAAATCAGTGACTCCACTAGATAATTGAGGGGTTCGCAATCCAAAGTGGATATCTCCAAGCCCATTGATGACAAAATAACCCACACTAACGTGTCAGCATCGCCAAACATCATTAGCAGTTAAGCACATGCCCAAGAACTGTCCTAAGTAAAGTAGAAACAATTGGCTTCTTCGATCTCTTATATATCGATCTTACATATACTATATCTATACTATATCTATACTATATTACATATACTTATATAGATCTTAGTAAAACGGTAACTGACGATGAGATTCATCTACTTAAATCATTAACTTAAAAAAATATTTAGGATGCAACAGCTTGATAAAGATTTTTTTTCTCCAATTCCAAATCAGAGTAAATTGGCAACCTGAATAAGAAATTTTTTTTTTGTTCTATAAATTTCAATAATATATAATTGAAATAATGTCCACAATGCATATTTATGATTTGACCCCGAGCGATGCATTACGTAGAAATGTAGAAATCAAACGAAACAAAAATTAATTTTAAACAAAAATAATGAATGATTGATCGAAAAAGATGATAATCTCTATTATATTTGATTTAACTTCAAACTTATATGTATTTTCTTCCATCTGTCCATCGAGGAATATAAGGATTTTTACTTCTTTTTCCCTGAACAACTGAGGCGTTAAATCCAAAATAAGGTGGATAGGGTGGTAGGTGCATATAAAGCAACACTTCCACCTAATAAAATTAACATATTATCGACTCGTAGCGGCCTTGGGTTAAACTTGGATGTTACATAACACAGAGTATATTTCGTGGCTTGGATGACTTTTTTTATTTTATATTTATATTTTTCCAAACAGAGTAGAGAAAAGCGCACCATCAATGTTTAGAATTTTCAAAAACTCGACAAAATTAAAGAATGAAAAAAAAAATAAATGAAAAAGATACTCTAAAATACATATATTAAGGCAGTGTTAGTTGAGTTAGATGAGGGACATTACTTGCGGCAGAAATAAAATGCTTAAGATCATGTCTCAATTAACAAATTAAATAAATCATATTAAAACTCAGTTTCACATAGGTGGTTATAGAAGCATTTTTAAATTTTATGTCAACAGAATAGAAAATAAAACAAGTATTTTTCAAATGAACAAGTAGCCATCTCAGTGAATGACAAATAACGAGGACATAACGTATTGAAGTTTGCTTTGAACATTTTTTAATAACAGGTTAGTAGATTTTAAAAATTCAGTAAATTTCAAAAACGGTTCGTTTCATATGAACTGAAGTAAGTTAGCTATTGGTGAAAAAATGATAAAGTTGGTATCGATGTTATCAAGTTCCATCAACTACTTTGGCTGCACAAACTTATTTTCATTGAAATGTCCATATTCCACAAATGGTCCATTCAATTTGAATCAATGGGACTAACGTACGAACATTGTCAAATACTATTTAATAATTGAAATTAATATAGTCTGTGGTTTTTTTTTTCTTTTTTTCGAGTTTAGAGTTTATTAACCAATAATTAAAATTTGGTGCGACCAACCCATTGGCCGGTATAAATTATATCATAAATTAAACCATTTAAAAATTATTTACTTAACATTAATGGCAATTAATGTTAAGTAAATAATTTTTACATGGTTAAATTTTATTTTCCTAACAATTTCAATATAATGTAATTCTAACTTAGTATAATATATATATATATATATATATATATATATATATATATAATGTATATATATATATATATATATATATATATATATGTATAATATATATATGTATAATATATATATATATATATTAAATACTAAATGGCAATATAAGAGATCTATAAGATTATATAATATAAAATATAAATGATAATTAAGATTGTATATAGATATGAAAATATAGCGGTAGTAATTTATAAGATTCGGGATTATTGGACTATTTTGCCCGCCTGAAAGAGTAGGAAGGCTTCAAAATTGGTGGCTCAATCTTTGTATTTATTGCAGAATATAACGATGAAATGGCTTGCCGATAAAAAACACCATCGATAAATAATATAAACTCCTCTCTCGATCATACAGGCCTCGAGTCTACGAAATGAGACATGTATGCATTCAATGAAAGTACTATAATTGACGTAAGATTGTGTGGATACGAACCTTATGCCTTGCGTTATCTCGAAAATAGTACGTTTTGGGCTTAAAAACGCGGGTCTTGCTGTACGCATCAAAATCTTCAAAGCCCAATTTGCCCCGTATCGATCTACAGACTTACCACCGTTCCAGTATTGAAGCCAGGCAAAATGTTTGTATTGACTTTATTTATTTTAGAAAAAAAAAAAGTGGAGAACACGATTTGCTAACCCTCCCCCCGTGAAATTCTGAATCCAACGGTACTCCATTCATGCTATTTGAGCATGATAGGAGCTTATATTTGGTACAAAACCTTACTGTAATAATATATGTGGGGATGGGGATGGGGATAATAAATAAATATGAAAAGAAGTATACAAACAACAATTAGACCCCTTTTTATTAAATGATTAACACCCGCCTAAAACTTCCTGAATGGCTTCATCATATCGTAATCTAAAATTGTTTTATCAACGAAAATTCTCAGAAGCGAGGAGTTTCCTAGTAAAACTAATTTATTGAGTTGGGTACTAAAATCTCACACGATTACCCATTTGCTTTTCATAAGATAATTTGATCATAAAATCGTGAAAAAAATGTTGCCTACAAAATTATCGGGCCGTTTGGCAGCAATTAGGTATTCATTTGTTTTTAATACCTAATCAAATAGACAAAATTTGCCGATCTGCAAATTGAAAACGCCCCAATTCCTTGAATTTTTGTAAATAAAAAAGTTTTAGGATACGATGAGATGAAGCTATTTACGAAATTTTAGACGGGTGTTTAATAATTTGTTAAAAAGAGGTCTGTACCACGGACAAATACACTTATTATGAATGTAATGGCTATGGAATGTAGTAAGCAGTGAACAAATGATATTGGTTAACGTCAGTTAATTGAAAAAATTTAACTTTTGATGGATTGATATTTTTAAATACATGTTTGTGAATTTTCATCGTGCTTATGAATGTAAAAAATTGTAAAGTGTATCAAAACAACACTAATCCCAATATATGCCAAAAATATAGAATAATCTTTTGACTTAGCACAGAGAAAAATGTTACTTTATCGCTTTTTGCGACAAGATTATGATGGGA